ACTGAGAAAACGTTAGCAAAAGAAATCACCAGATATGTAAATGAGCGGTCTGATTCTGATGATCTTTCTGTGAGGTCAGCCCAAATCCAATGGTTGATTGCTATCTACATTTTTGAATTCCACTAACGTTAGTCTCCTGGATTCAGATCACACAGGGGTTAGCAGCAATAAAATCTTATTTGAGTTTCTTGAATATTATATATGAATGATTGGTATTTATGCTGGTTGAGGAAGATCTCACTGTGTTCAGCTTCATGTTCTCATACAGGAAATCAGGTGCAGAGCATTGCAGCAACTTATTCACACTTACTGGGAGGGCAGCACCTCCTGACAGCTACTCACACTCATCCTGTGTGAGTTTGCTGTCTTGAATCTCTGAAGGTAACCCCAGCTGGCTACTCTTCCCATAGTTAGCAGCAGCAGGCTGCTACAACTGTTTAGAGTTCTTGCTCTCTCTCTCAAATATAAAAAAGTAAACCCCAAGAAACTAATTTTGAAAACATGTTATGTATGTTTTGGCACAAATCTTTATTCTTATAGTCTCATATGAATTCGGTCACTGTGATACTACATTTGTTGGACCAGGTGGGAAAGGATCAAAAGCAGATCCCCAGGGAGTCTCTTGATCTTGATCTTGAGCTTTATCCAGGCATAGAAGAATAAATTACTGCAAAAGCTACATCTCTTCTATGATCATGAATCCTTTACTCTCTGCAGAACGTCATCGTTCTTTGCTCAGGAAGCTGAAGAGTCACATCATAGTGATGTTAATCATGAGACGATGGAGAGAGGAGGGAGGTAGTGTGCCAGATAGAATCAGTGATAAGTTTGGGAGAGTCAGTGGGGTGTTTTATTGCGGAAGAAAGTGCATCTAACTTTGGAAGGTAGCAGGGGTGATCACAGGAGCATAAGTGCCAAATTTCAGTAAGTTATCACCAAGTCAGCTAGATGTGGTAATTACCATGTTTCTTCTTGGTTTAGTAAAACATAAAGCAAAATAGATTCACATAAACCACCTTATTTTCTTTCACAAGGAGAAGACAAATTGCAAGGAGTAGAAGCACACAACAAGGCAGTAGCTTTGTCTTGGGTATGAGGAGGAGGTAGAAAGGAGGGGAATAAACACTAAAATATGCTATCTGGATTTCGTTTGCTTATTTGACCATATGCTTGGAATTTCAGTTTGTTCATGCTCCAAGATATACACGTAGCGAGTGTGAGCTTAAAAATCACCAAACACCACTACTGTGACCTTACTAAGTTGGTATTTCTCTGGGTCATCCAAGAGAAAGAGAGTTGAAATGAAATGAGTTCTTTTGAGTGCTCTCTGCATACGTAGTATGCTAACCTTCAAGCACTTGTCAAGGTTGTGGGTAACAAATAGAGGCAGTAAAACAAAAAGACGTCTTTTGGATAAAAAAGTAAAAAAACTTGCTTTTCAGTTCATTCAAGAACTTTTTTTGTTTCTTTACAGATAATTGATTTTTAAAAAAGTAGGAAAGATTTTACTTATATGAAAACAACTCATTTTTTTTCCAAAAGACAGAAAAAGGAAATAAAAATACTTAGTCAGTAAAAATAAGAAGTTTCTTTGCCACTGGTAAAAGAAACATGAGCTTTATCTCCTAAAAGGGTCTAAGGAAATGATGCAAAGTAGGTTTTTTAATCCAAATATAACAATGAAAGTTTTCAAAAATACCCCAAGCCCTTAAAAAACCTCTTCAGAAAACAAAACATTCATCTGCACAGCTGTTTTATGCTAAAATGCTTATAACCAAATCCTCCTTTTTTGTTTGATTAAAAAAACCCTGAACTATAACCATTTCTATTTTGATATCTAAATCCTGGTCAGGATGAATATCAAATTTCCTTTGCTAATATAACCAAAATCTTGGTTCCTTTGGTAGAGTTAATAAACAAGATAAATACATATTTCATCTGCCATATAGTTTCCTCAGATGGAAGTATTACCAGTAACAAGTGCTACTCCAGGTCTGTGGTATGACAAATTCCTATTACATTTCTTTAGGGTCTTGCAACACTTTCCTTAACTCAGTGACGCCTGTGCTAACATTTCATAGTCCATACGTACATGGACAGACACTGGCACAGACAACACACACTCTACGTGTCTTCCATCTCTGTGCACCATTCCCATTTTATTCCCAGGTACTATCTGTCAAGCCAGGATCTTTGTGGTCATAAAAATCCAGAAACCAATAGAAGTATTCTTACGTCTGGGAAGTTTTGCTCATGCTGCTGACATATTTTAAAAGCCTGGGAGGAAGGAAGGATGTTTTGCAATTGACTGCAGGAGAATCTGGGTTCCATTCACCACATTAAGGCTCAGCCATAAATGCTGCAGCTTGAAGTTAGGGTGAGCTTACTGCGTGGTTAAGATGATAAGCTAGTTATTACTTTTCTTGGAGCAAGACCACTGGGGATCGCCATGGTTTGGTATTAGAACAAGAGTAATAGTTGGACAATCTTGATGCCAGCTACAAATATTAAAAACACCTCATTTTCCTCACCTTTAAAATGTAAATAATAATGCTTTATCATTAAATAGGATGTTTGGGTGCTTTCAAGTGCCTAGAAAAAAAAACCCTGCGAAGTATTCTGATTGTTCTGTGGTAGACTTTTCTATGCATCATGTCTAAAAATGTAGTATTTTACAAGTTTAACACAGAACAAATCAATTAAAATTAATTTTTTAACATATACACACACTTTTCTTACAATTGCTGATTTTTTTTACTGTAAATCATCTAGCATTCTATATATTTCTGTAGCTTGCATTCTGATATAAAAATATTTTCCAGTAAGAAGTTTCACATTGTAGTCCATTTGTTTCTGAGATTTTGATAGAATCATTGGGTGTTAATGCAGACACAACTCCTTACATCATAAAAATGACACTGCATTTTTAATCTTAATTAACAAGTATAATAATTTTCTATTCAAACAATGGCTAACCATAGCTGGTGAAGGATATGTTCTGTCTTAAAAACCTTTATGTTATAAACTTCTTTTATGGGACACTTAAAAGATGGAGATATTCAATATTGCCATTCATTTATCTAATATAAGTTCTGAACATTATTATTTTCTACAGATGATATATTTCTAATTCATGGAAAAAAGGAAGTGTTACTAATACAGAGCACAATTCTGCTAAAGTCAGTAGCAACTTTGCCAGTTACTCCAGTAAGTGAAGATGCAAGTGGATGCTGTCTGACTTACAATCTTGCTGTCTGTGCTGTGTCCATTTCCTTGTTAGAGACACAGTTCTGTGTGTGCATATATGGATATGCATAAAAGATAATAAAATTTACTATTAAAACCCAGGATTTACATCTAAGCTTTTATTAATTACTACATTTACTATGAAGACAGCCCTTTGAAGATCCTTTCCTAGAAGTTCTAAAATTAGTCTTCTTTCAGGATCACTTTATTTATTTTGTTCTGAATTTTATTTTTGGTTTCTGCAGGCACTAAGCAAAGCATCTCATCGACGTCTGTGTTCCCACGCTATTCCCATGAAAAGCTCACTCAAGCTTGCAGACAGATGTACTGCAGATCCTGAGAGTAATAAGTGGGTCTGATTTTGTGAAGTGCTGAGCATTTTCTGTATTTCCCCAGGATCACGCCCTAATAGTACAGTTTCTTTCTGAATTGTTCCAACTTTCCTAACCTTTGTGTGGTATATTAAAAAAATGTAGTTCACAGTTTCTAAACTTTCAAAACTTTTTGTTTAGCACACAAGAGTCCAAGTACACTCTTGGCTTTTGTACCAATACCAGTCCCCTGAGGAGAGTTTGAATTATTCCATATTTTAGTTGAGGTGACTATTACAACTATGAAACATTTTCTGCAAAAACACTTTAGACTGAATTTTATGTTCACACTCAACTCTCATAGAACCAATATTTCACAAGCATTTAAAAATATTCCTGACCTTAATGATGGTGCAAAGGACTCCAGAAAACCACAAATCCAGTTTCACCACATGAAAAGAGTACGTGTTTTTTTGAAAGCAGATAGTCTGCAGACTGGCAGAGTAGATTTCTGAAAAAATAGCTGTATTTCATATAAAAAAGGTTTTGTAAAAAGAATTATATGAGTAGTATAAATATAAATTTTTAAATCCACCCACATTAGTCCCTAGTTTTGTATGTAAATTTTAATTAGAGTTGCCACAGGCAGGGTATATGACTTTTTTAAAAAAAGCATTTCTTTCTTGTGTGTTGGCAGCAAAGTAAGCAGAAATATGGCTTAGTGAAAATAAAACACTTGATGAACAAACAAAACAACAACACTGTACCAATCCTTCTACCAGTACCTGTTTTTCATTGGAAAGAAGAGGTATGCATTACCCTTGGCCAGCCATGTACTTTCCAAACAAGACCTTCCAAACTCAGTGTTTGCATGCTGAACTCAATGAGGAAGGAACAGGCTGTGTATGAAGCAAGTTGCAAAAACTTGCTATGTCTCTCATGACAGAAGTACAGAATGAAAGTTCTGTTTTATATTTGCCTGTGTTTCGATTTAAGAATAAATGTAGTGATAGCAGTGGAGGGTACTCATCACCTTGCAGCTGCTGAAAGAAAAAAAACTTTAGTAGAGAGTGAGAGAAAGAAATAAGCCAACTTATAGATAAATTAGATCAAGATTTTTCAGTCTGTCTTTTTAATGCTCTTTTCTCCATTATTTTGTGCTTCTAGTCAGGTCAAAATCTAGATCATTCTGATTCACTTTTCATGGGCAAATCCTACTCCCTGACATCTTAGCATGATTTAGAAACAGAGGAACAGACAGAAGTACAGACCCAACAGGCTAGGGACTATTTAGAGGAGCTTGATGTATTCCAGACTGTGAGGCTAAATGAAGTCTACACAAGCATGCTGAAAGAGATGGCTGATGTGATTGCAGGGCCAACTAACATCTGTGAAAAATTGTGACAAGTGTGGGGTGTCCCCGATGGCTGGAGGAAGACTTACGCTCATCTTCAAAAGAAGAAAAGAGGCAATGATCTCTAAGCTTGTCAGCTCACCTCTGTCCAGGGAAAGATCACGGAGCACATCTTGGAATCCATCAGGAAGGCAATCAGGAGCAATCAACGTCAATTTACTAAGAGCAAATCGTCCTTGACCAACCTGATTTGCCTTCCAAGATGCAATCACTAGCTATGTGGACAAGAAAACAGCAAATATAATATACCCTAACTTTAGTAAGGCTTTATATACTGTCTCCCAAAGCAGTCTAATTCGGAAGCTGAGAAAGTATGAGCTGGAAGAGCACACAGTGAGATGGGATGAAAACTCTCTGGACTGACATAATTCAAAACTGTCAAACCATTAAAACTGACATCTTCAGCTAGGGTATCTAGTTGAAAGCCAGTTTATCTCTTAGAGTTTTTAGAATAAAGACAGAATTAATTTGTTCTGAGTTTCTAATGACATCTGGATGCACCTTTTAGATACAGGACAAAATGCTTGAGAAGATAATGCCAAACATTGCTGAACAGAGAAGAGCACTCAGTCTGAGGAAAAGATGAAATTCTGTGAAAACTAGAATCAATGAGATTTCTGTGAGTCCCCAAAATAACAAAGGATTGGGACGCTGACACAAAGGGAACTTGTGGACGCTGAAATAGCTCCTACTATGTGTACCGAGCTTGGTTTATAGAACCACAAAGTGTAAGAATTTCTTGTAAAGGCATCAAAGAAGAGCATAAATTCAAACTTGAAATCCAAGCAGGAAAAAGATATTGGTTTAAAACATATCCTTACAGGTGCTGCAGGTGCATGACAGATTGTCTTGAAGTACTTTCCACGGACATCAAGAAAACAAATAGTGGCAGCAGAAGGAGATGGTGTTGCTATAAGTAGTAAAAAGAAATTTTCATGGGTTTCCAAGTGGTCTGAGCAAACTCAGTCTATGTTTGTGAGAATGTGCCAGCATTTACAAGTGCATATAGCTTCGAAGCTGCATTTGAAGAGGACTAAATAATACAAACTTTCAGCTTAATAAACACCACACAAAATACCATATATTTGGACGCTCGCTCTCCTGATTGGTATATGTCTTATGAAACCTGAATATTCCTAACTGACTTACAGTAACCCACTGCAGTCCTGAAATACTGGCACTAGAAACATCCATTTATCTAGGTCTAGAGAAAACCAAAACTTGTTTGTGTATAGACAGGGACAAGGCTGACATATGAACAAATACACTGCAGCAAGTTTCCTGATTGCTTTTTGTTCTCCTAGGCTGAAAATTCCACAAATAAGTTATTAGGAAGGTGAGGCTAAGGAAAATATTTAGCAAGAGATTGCTTTAGTACTTCATCACTATAAAGCGCGCTTGTAGATAGCCTTTATCTTCAAGAACTCTGTTCTCTCATATGAAGCTATATAAAAGCTGCTGCAGCTAAAGGTTTCTGGTTGCCAGTGAAAATCTCAATGTTCTGATAACAATTAAATTCTGTTAAGACCATCACTAATTACAAAGTACTGAAAATTATTACTTGCTGCTATTTCTATTTCTTTTGCAAGTTATTTAACATACTTAAGTATTCTAGGACTTAGAGAATTTCAATAATGTAGTTCTCTTTTCTCCTAGGTTTTCTTTTTTTGGTCTTGTCCTTTGGGTTTTTTTTGTAAGACAGCCCAAAATTTCCATCTGAGTATTTTCAACTTTTATGAGCCTGGATCAATACTACAGAAACTGCATGAAACAAAGTAGAACGAGCAGCCAGTCTGATCTCTGCGTCTTATAGGCAATTATCTATCACCCAGTTCAAATAAGTAATCTTCAGGAGAGTAACATGTTCAGGAGAGATTCAGGCTGTAGGTCATAAGTGATTGGCAGTAAATTAATTTAGTAAATTAACTTAAATAACCCAGATAGAAAAAAAGGCACATTTTGTTTAGGACATTATGATGAAAGGAAAAAAAAAATCAATATTTCTGACAGTTGTGTCTGGAGAGTCCTCTTGAAGATTGGTTTAGTACGGAGAGTATATGCTAAACGAGAGAGAAGACAGTCTCTGTAACATCACTGGTCCTCTCTGCATTCTATCCTATCTCCATTTGTGATGAATACTTCAGAGAAAAATACAGCTGGACCTTTCTCCTCTGAATACCCCTGCTCAGTCAGGGATAATCATCCTGTTCTGATGCCTAGAGGTGATGAAAACAAGTGTGAGGTTTTATTTTAGTTCTTATTTTGTTGAGAAACTAAAGCAAGAAATTTGCAGGCACACTGATTCACTGACAAATCACGATCTTCCCATAATCTAGGAAAGAAATGATTGTGCATGTGAACGATAGGAACAAGACCTCTGCAACTGTATCACACCTTTCCAAAGACAAGCAGGAAGGATGGATCCAACCTTGTTACATAGGCATTAGCCTAATTTGTTTTAAAGACTTAAAATGGTTCCAGTCTGTGACTTTTTCTAATAAGCTGTATCAACAGTTAGCTATGTTTTTGGTATGGAAGTGAATGTTGTTGCAAGGTTGGACTCTAACTGCATTTTGTAGCAAATGAATCTTCTCATGCCTTTGCTGGCAAGACTTAAAAGCCATCCACTCTTAGATATCTTTTCCACATTCCTACATGCAGTTATCAAACCACTCATTATCCTTTGGGCTGATTTATCAGTACTTACCAAGAACTGAAGATATGATATATGCTATAAAAGTATTCACTTCTCCTGAAGTGACAAAATTAACCCCAATTCCATGTGTGAGTATTTATTTAATTTGAATTACCTGTGGATAAATGGAGTTTTCCAGGAGTAATCACTCAGTATGATCCCATGTAAAGCTTGGAACACTGTTACAGTTGTAGCACAGGAACTTTGGCAATTAAACTTGATAGAAATCAATGAGACGCCTTCCTCTACTTTGGCAAGAACTGAATTGTGTCCTAGATCACTAAAGACTATCTTTTTCCCAGATCTTTTCTGACTTCAAATGCTAGGGCAATTGATGTTTTTCTGGTCAATTCAATCTCACCTTCATTAGATGCTTTACTCTCCCAGTCAGTTTTACAAACTGCTACTGAAATAGAATTTGAGCGAGCTGGTACCAATGGAATGTACCCCTTTAAGTAGGGGTCATGTCATGCCTCCGTTATGTTGTATCTTATGGTGTATCTTATTCAGCTCCCACCGCTGAACTTTACAGCTGACCTGCACAGATGTTTGCAACAATGGGAACTTCGTACATGCACATACACAGCCCATGAGACAAAAACATAGTAACAGCATAATTACTACTTTGCGGAGCTGAGCTACTAGAACTTGGGTGAAAACAATAAGGAGAGTTTTAATAGCTCGTACTGCTTCTGTGGGAACTTCAGATGACCACATAGAACTCAACAGGAATTAGGAAAGAATTTCCCATGTATTTTATGGAACAAGTTGTATACTCCACATGCATTCACACAGGATGGTGATTTACTGGTTGGAAGAACTGAGTCCATTTCTCATTTTGGAAGGTGGTACTGATGGCTAGAATTGGCTAATAAGACTGTCAGACCACAAGACAGCAGGGAATTCAAAAACATGCCAGATTTTCCCAGGAAATCTTAAAGATTATCTGCTAGTAGATGACAATGATGTGTGGTTTTTGAAGAAGATAAAAGTATAATTTATTCACTCAGATTAATGATAAAAAGACACTCTTTAATAGCTAGGAGAGAGATAATCTTTAAAAAGAAAAATCAAAGTAGACAAAAATAATGCAAGTTATTTAAAAAAAAAACCTCCATCCATTTTTTATCAATAAAAATAATCTTGTATTTAAATTTCCTACTTAATTCTCCATTTAAACTTTCCTATCAGTTATGTATTACATGCGTTCCTAGAATGATACATTTACTATGCAATTTCCATATTTCAAAATACAAATTACTCATCGTATTTGCTGTCTGAAACTGTTTTCATCTTCATCTTCATTTGTAGAGATACTCAAGACCCACCAATTTAAGATGGAAATTATCAGTCATCATCTTCATATTTTACCTAACACAGTCCAAATCAGTATCTTCATTGCTATTCCTTCATTCCCTGCTTCTGACCTTTACTCTGACCGAGATTTTGACCCTGATGATTTGTTTCTTTCTCCCAGTATACCTTCTTTGCTGGATGACCAACATGCGAATAGGTGCCTCATCCACTACCTTATTCATGTCTTTCTCCATTGGTATAGAATGAACTTTCAATCCCAGTTTACCAAGTACAGTCAATCATCATTGATTTCTCCGAACTGTTATTTCCCCAAAGACTTATAAGCATTCCTTCCCACGTCAAATGCTGTCCCTAGCCCATTGCTATTTGAAGAGAAGATAATGAGAAAATATTTTAGAAAATGTTTTATTCACTAATAATTCTGCAATTTTTTTTGTCTGCCTCCTAACATTAACTGTCTTACCTTGGCCTTTAAACTGAAAACTTCTTGAAGTAGGACTGTTGCTGAAATTAAACAGCATACTTGTAGCATTTTTAAAAATAAGAATAATGGTGATATTGGTAGCCTGCTAGTATTTTTGCTTTCATTCTCATCAAGATCAGACATGCTTACAGTTCACAAACCTATTTTTAAGTGGTGACAACATTATTTGTATTACTGAAGCACTCAAAAGCCACAGACTTGGACCACAACCTCATTGTGCAAGATCCTGTACAAACAGGGCAGAAGAATTACCCATACACCAGAAGGAATGTAATCAGTATAAAGCAAGAATCCTCACGCAGACTGATGTGGGAGAACAAAGAAAATGATCATTTGTGTCATATAAATAGCGTTTTAAGTAGTCTGGGAACACTGGGATCTTGACTGACATCAAAGGTTTTCAGATACTCTAGCAAAAGAGTACACTACAGAAAGCGTTAGGAACAATCAATGAGATGGATAGCTTTGCTGGTGTATGTAGAGAGGGCCCTTATGAGGAGAAGTGTGAAGGAATCCAGTCTCCCATATTCCAACTTTACCTGCAATTGTGAATGTTACCCTATGAGTATTTTGCTGAAGCATCCAGGATCTCATAATCCTAAACATATACAGAATCTAGAATATTTTTTGATCTAGAATATTTTTTCTTTAAAAAGTACAGTAGTGCTTACAGATTATTTCCAAAGTTATGTTTATTTCCTTTTTTGTTATTATTAAAA